GCTTTGCTTGTCCTTACAGATTCCGCAAATGATTTATTCAAGATAAAATCATCTTCTAACAAATCAACAGATGGTAGTTTATCCAAATTTGTTATTTTTCTATTTGTTAGGTTAGTATCAAAATCTGAAAAAACATTCTCATCACTCGTGTTACTCTCTTTTACGCTCGTTTGACACTCTTTTACGCTCGTTTTGCACTCGTTATCAACAAGATCATTAGCAATTAATTCAACAGTCTCTAAATTGTTGTCACTTTCATTACTCGTATTAATAACGATATTATTTTCAAGTAAACTATTTTCGCCATCGTTATTAATTTTCGGATCATTTAATACAATTGAACAACTCTCGTCAGTCATAATTTCGTTTTGTTCAACTACGCTCGTATCAAAAACAAACACGTCAGACGGATTTGCTTGTTTTTCTTGGCCTTTCTTATCAATTTGAAATTCAATGACCCAATATGGTTTATCGTACACACCAGAAGCATAAACTTCTTTTGTTTTTGGATCATAAACATCAACTCGTTCTTTATCCATATAGGTTGAGAAACCCGCTTCCGCAAATTTTCTTATAGAAAGTAAATTCTCGGAAAGTGAATCTGTATAAACAGTGTTGTCTAACACTAGCGACTTTTTGTTGTCTGAGTTTCAAATAACATTTACTGTACCTCTACCCTCAGCAACCAATTCGTTAAATGTTCAGTGGCTCCTGAATCGATAATGAAAGACACATAGTTTTTATTACTCTCGTTATTATTCACATTTTTATTTTTCGAGTGTTGTCGGAAATAAGTTGACAACAACGACTGTTTTCGATTTTTAAAATTAGATTTTAAATCTATACTGCGTGAAAAAGAATTTTCATACATACCTTTAGTATTTGCTTGATTTTTAGGACCTTCGCTCGTTCCTGTTCGTGAATGACCTTGCTTCGGATCGGTTTTCTTTGATTGTCGTGAGTTATCGTCGCGAGTTGGTTTCGAATTAAAGCTGTTTCTTTTATTATTGTCTTTCGATTTAAAAGATCGCTTATTATTTGAACGGTAACTTTTATTATACCTATTATTATTATTGTTTTTGTAGCGCTTTTCTCGACCAATATTTTTATTAAAATTCCCGCCATTTTTTGTCAATCGTTGAGGGCAATCCGCAGCCACGTGATTTGAAAACTGTCCACACTCGTAACATTTTTTCAAGCCAAGACCCTTACGAGGACACTCATTTTTCATATGGCCGGAATCACCGCATTCAAAACATCTTTCCTTTGACCATTTTAGATTTGAATTCGTGAAGGAAGCAGATGCCACTGTAATCGCTTTAGAACCCGGATGGTTTGCGTTCGATGTTTGTAAACGATTTGCCTCAGCTTGCATAATGAAAGACTTTAGCAAATCGTAAGTCAAACCCTTTCCGGTCTGATTTTTCGTTATAAATTCGACAGATTGTACTTCCGGGATTTGACCCATTATCGCACTGTACAGAGCTCTAATGCTTTCGGAAATTCCTTTGATTCGTCGTTCTGTCCTTGTAACAAATGATTTTCGGCGTTGTCAGTGTGCTTGTAAACATCGTTACCCTCGTAACTCTCGTTATTAACTGAATTAGTAATTTCGAAATGATTTTCAGCGTCGCCGTCGTCTGGTTGGTGTTTCTGTTCTAAACTTAAAATCTCTGCCTTTAAAGATTTTTAGAAAATACACTCGTCTAAATCGTTTTTATTTAGAATAAAACAGAAACTTGCTCTTAAATCATTTGATTGAACACAAATCAAAATGATTCAGAATTGATTAACTCTCCTGCACTTATTACTATTAAGCGCTGCGAAAGAGAATCTAGTTGTTACAGTCGTCTAAGTATGCACACAATATTTCGGATCTGAACAACCCAAACGATGGATTTGTGTGTCTTATTAAGCAGAGAATATTTAATATTTCATAAGTTCCTCGTTTTATGTAAAATCATTTCTTAAATCATTTATCTATATATAATTTTCGACGCTAATTGTAATTAAATTTAAAATTTACTAGCTAGATTTTAACATAATTAACTCTGCAGAGAATTGTTTTAAAATATCGTTTATCATTCGTTAAGAAAATCGTACGAAAATATCGTTTAACGCTCGTTTAAAATAGAATTTATAAATGTCATAAAATTACTTACTTAGTACCGCTGACTCTCCTGTGGAAAACTCAATTCTAAAAGAATCGTCGTTAATTTTCGCTTTAATTAACAGATTCCCTGTTATTTTAATCATCAGAGCGTTGCTGCATCTTTCTACGAGTTTGGAGAGCACACTCGTTGTGTCTAACGTCGTCATTGTTCTTTACTGGCGAAAATGATGAAATAATCAGTTTTTGTTTAGTACGCAATTTTATGGAATTCTAGTCACAACCACCCAGCAAGGAGCACTCGTATCCAGTTTGTCACTATAACTTAATTTTTCCGTCGTTCACTTCGAACGCACTTATATCGCCATTTTGAGAAAAAAAGGCTTCACCTTTTTACCCAGCACTTTCGCGGCTCCCACAAGTCAAAGCGCGGTTTTTCGTGGTGGACGGGTACTGCGTACCATAACCTATTGACTTTTCGTATTTAAATGTGGGAGTTGTAAGTAAAACACAAGTTTATTATTAAGTAAAAACGAACCTTTATTTAAATAAACGTTAAAGTACTTGATGAATTGTAAGTTTGTACAAAATTTCATTACATAATATTCATTAATTATTGTGGAGTATATAGATTAAAATAACTGATTTTGACACTCCAAAGTAATTTTTTAACCTCTTCATTTTTTTGTGATATCTCATTAAAAAATGAATTTTAGAAGAGCTCAAATATTAAGTTTTGAGCTCTTCACGGAGAAAATCTGAAAGCACTGAGTATTTTTTCTCACATCACTGGCTACTGTGGAAACCAAAAAATTAAATTCCAAAACTCTGAATGTTTTCTGCACAGCACTCAATGCTCTGCAGAAAATAATCACTATTTTTTTGACAGTTATTAGAATTTCTGTTTATATTAATGGACAACAGAGTTTTCAAAGCTAGGAATATAGCAATAAATTCTTCGCTCGAAGTCGTGACTGCTTTCCTCACAGCTCTGAGTACTGTGTAGAATTATTTTTTAGGATTAAAAAAATAAAAGAACATTTAACCTTTAATAAAAAATAAATAACAATTTTAAACAAGCGTTTAAGACAATTTTAATCAATTTTAGATGTACAAATACAAATAAATATTTAAAATTTACCTATAATAATTCATTTTAAAAATAATTATTTATTATTTCATTATTGTATAATAACTTTATTTGCTATATAACTGAAAAATTAAAAAAAGCGATGGTTTTTAAAAAGACTTTTTGAAGTCTTCATTTGTTTATTTATGTTATTCATTAACTGTTTATAAACATGTCAATTAAAATCAATATTTGAAAAGAAAAAATAACCATGGCTATCTTCTTTTTAATTGACGTTAAACGTTCCTTTGTTTTCTAAATTCTAAAAAATAATTCTACACAGTACTCAGAGCTGTGAGGAAAGCAGTCACGACTTCGAGCGAAGAATTTATTGCTACATTTGTAGTTCTGAATAATCTGTTGTCAACTAATATGAAACGAAACTCTGTTTACTATCAAAAAAAGTTGTGATTATTTTCCGCAGAGCATTCAGTGCTGTGTGGAGAACATTCAGAGTTTTGAAATTTAATTTTTTGGTTTACACAGTAGCCAGTGCTATAAGAAAAAAACTCATTGATTTCAGATTCTCTCCGTGTATACATTTGTTATTAAGAAACAAAAAAAAATTTTTGATTTATATTAACAGTTTTAATAAAAAATTAATAAATATTTCAAAAGTACTTTCGGGGTTAGGTGGCGTGGTTATCTGAAAATTTCGTTAAATATTAAAAAAATGAATTAAATAAAGTTGATTATATGAAATTTACACATTAATGAGCACCAATAACAATTCCTTTTAAAAAATTTAACCAAATTTTTTTTTTAAATATTGACAGCATAATTATCAAAAAAAAATATATATATTTTTGATAATTTTACGATTTCATAGAAATGCTTTTAATTTAAATGAAATTTTCTAATTTTTAAAATAATTTTATTGTAAAATTACAGTACAAGAATTATTTTGTTAAGTCTTATATTGTTTAAACTTTAAATCACATAATTTAATTAATTTTACTCCTGTGCCACGCAATCCCGGGCCGGGGTTGCTTGGCGCGCTTTGCACAGCTTCAAATAAAGTGGTATAAAAAGAAAAGTATTATATTATATATTGCAACTTTCTTTTTTTTTTAATTAAAGCTGTAATGTTACAAGTTTTCTAAAAAATAACTTTTTTAAAAAAGCAAAAATGAATGAGTTACACAACAAAGAGTAAAAAGTGCGCCAAGTAGCCCTGGTCTCCCCTATATCCCCAGGATATCTCTAGGATATCCAAATTTCCGTTCTGTGCGAAATCCCAAGGGATATCCCTGAGATTTCCCGTGTGAGATATATATATTTGCGCATGTGCAGGAAACTCCTTCTGATCGTTCCACACAGCTGACAAGATGTACATATACAGTCAGGAACGTCTTACCAAAAATACTTAATGTAAATAATTTGTTGAAAGCAATATTTATATATTTGATAGAAAGAGAATTTAATAAAAAGTATTATGATTATAATTGTGCATTCCTTAATTTTGTTATTTCAATTTACAATTTTTTTTAAAACTCAGTTTATTTTGGATAGTTTATACGAAATATCCAATGTAAGATATCCCGTCTCAGATACTGCGGGATATCCCGTATAATATATTCCTGGGATATACAGCACGGGTTACCCACAGGATGGAAATTTGGATATCCTAGGGATATCCCTGGAATATCTGTGATATCTCAGAGATATATATCTTTGTTCATAATTGAATATTCATTTTCTCTTTAATTTAATTCAAAATCTTTGACAATCAAACACTAATAGAGTTACTTCCATTTTTAGCGAACCTAGTCCTGACATAGTGCCAGTCCCTCAAGCGCAAACTTCTTCTTCGTCAACCATTTCTACGCCAGGAGATGTAACTGCAAGTAGTTCTCCCCGCAGTACTCAAGATATTATTCATTTGCCACCACCTCCATTACCAGGACACCCAACAGGAGTTTACCATACCGTAAAAAGAAAAGGAACAGTTGGTTCTGAGGAGCAAGAAGGTAATTTAGTAACTCTTGGAGGACGACCTAGATCGGTTGAAGGACTTCCGATAGAATTAAGAGGTGCAAGGAAGCGAAGAGATGTAAAAGAGAATTATATTTCAGTAAGTATAGAACCAGTTTCAAATTAACTTATTATTTTTTAAGGACGTTTATCCAAGGAAATGCAGACCTATAGAAAAATATATACATTTAAATAATTAAAATGATATTAGTTGTATTTTCTAAAAGATTTTAAACCTGCAAAATTTATTTGTTTATATAATTTTCAGTGTAAAAAATTTTCGCTACGTCTATACGACCGTCTAGCCAAATAAAATAATTTTGTCCGTCTATATAGAATTATATTGAATATTTTAAGGAAACCTATCTTATTTTGGCCATGATTTGGCACAAATTTTATTAAAAATATGTTAGTTTTTAATTCTAAATAACGAAAAGCGCTAAATAGCGACTAGCGCTATTCGTAATCCCACTGCTGAAGTGTCCCCTATTTATTTTTGGGTAAGAAAAATAAATAATACTATATGGGCAAATCCACGAAACTTTTAACTTTCAAGAAAAAAAAATTTCTTTTTTAATTTGCAGGCACATTGATGTCACTTTGTATACATATTTAAGTACATTTTAACACTACAAATTCATATGCGTAATTCATTTTTAGCTCACGCCGTCAATGTTTAACTCTTTAAACTCTTAAATGTTAATAAATCACATATAAACTTGAAAAATTCGACTTTTTTTATTTTTGATATCGGAGTGGTTTTCAAAGTATTTTTGTCCTCTGAAAAACTGGTCTTACCCATAAACAAATAAATTTTGCAGGTTTTAAATTTGTTTCTTGAAAATTGATATCTCTTCTTTCAGAAAGTACAATTAATAATATTATTTTAATTAGGTATACAAATGTTAATGAATTATTTGTTTCTAGAGGTCTGAATTTCCGTGGATAAACATCCTTAAATATTAAAAACACCTCATAAATATAAAGACCGAATATTCTACGTCATATTTTTTATTTTTAGGACGAATTTCTCATGTTAACATACGATACACCGCATGTTAATAAACGAGCTGCTCAAGAAATGACAGATGTAAATACATCTCGAACAATTCAAGTCGTCGCCCCGGGTGATGTAAATTTTGCCTTAGGTGCATCAAACCCCATTAACGACACCACAGTTGTGATACAAAACTCATCTACAGATTCGGAATCTATTTGTATGTCACTAGCAGGCTTCGTAGGAGGCTTAGTTATGCTTCTGTTAGTAGTAGTTGTCGCATCTCTAGTGGCAGCTTTTCTATTTGTTCGGGTGAAAGCCATTGATCGAAAAAATTCAAGTATGAATAGCATGAACTATGTACATACAGCATATCTTTCTGAAAAACCTGAAATTGTGAAAGTTGCTAATTAAAGAAATTATAACTTTTGATAAAGAAAAGCGTCAAATAAAAAGAAGTAGAAAATTTAATAAAATATGCCTGTTACATCCGCAATTGCATCTGTAAGATAAAAGCAAGGGAAAGGAGCTCATTAATAGCAAAGAATTGTTGGATACAATGTATTCTTTAAGTCTAGTATGCAGATTTCATATTTCATTTAATATAACCTTAATTTGTTTTCAAAAGTAGACAAATGAAAGAAGACTTTCACTAAAACTTGTTATTCAGCTTCGATGTTTGAAAGTTTGATGGATTCTTGCTGAGGCATTTGTGGTTTTTTGAGAGTTGTTCTTTTTGAGGCTTAAAATAAACGATTTTAAAATTTTTTATATAACTTTTAATATCTAGATGTACCAAATTTTTCAAATAGTGAAAGGTTCTAGCCTCAAAAAATAGAACATTCCTATGGGTTGCCTAGACGTATCCGCAAATTAGGAATTTTATTACGAACTAGTATTTACATACTGTTTTTTCCTTTCATTTTTTTGTTCTCAGTTTAATAATTAGAATCAACGAAATGTTAAAGTTTACAAAATTCACTAAACTATTTTCTTCTACATTCAAATAGTCAGTATACTTTCTTTCATTGTGTTAAATATTATAAATTAATAATATGATCTATACTTAATTTTTATTCTATTCTTATCAAAAATTCTGAAGAATTTTAAGTTTAATTTTATAACTAATTTTAGTTTGTAACAAATTTCTGTCAGTGTAAAATTTCAGACTATTAACGTAGGAACCGAAATGTACGTAAATTTCTACAGCCATAATACTTGCAAGTTTTCTGGCAAATAATAACTAAAGAATGTTATTTTTAATTAATGAAACTACAGAATTTAAAAATTTATTAAATTTGTGGGATTAAATGCATGTGAGAGTTCGTGTACCTGAACATAAAAGTTGCACTTCCTTGCACAGCAGTATAGATCGGGTTGGATCCGAGCAAGAATAACACCCCGTCGCAGTGTGTGGTTGGAAAAGAGTTAATCAAAATTACCAATATTTTTTAAATAAAAAATTTAAATTTTCTAAATTCAATATTACACATTTGAAACTTGTATTTTTGATATCTTTATCACCTAACGATTTCAACGATATATTATTTGCCCTAAACCCTACTAAAAATCCCTGTACAAGATCTTATGTAAGAAAATGTACATGTTCAGCAGCTGAACTCCCACACAGCACCAAAAATTCCCCGACGATTATTTCAATGTTTAAAGGTTAACTTGGGAGTATTGAATCGTCGGGTTCAGAAAAGATTATTTAAATATTAAAATGTCCGCATGTCAACAAATGTTTAACGCGAAAGTTGGCTGATTATGTAAATTATAGTTTCGTTAAAGGTTTAAAATGATAATAATAATTAAATATTTAGTTATTTTATTTATTCTACTTATAATTATATTAATTTATCCTTTTTTATATGTGACAACTATTATTTAAACAATAATTAAATTTATTTTTTTAAAAATATTTTTGCCTAGTATAAACATTCAATGAATCTTCGGAGAATTTTCGAAGCTGTGTGGACTTGTACCAATTCTGATGACAAAATGTACAAAAAAAATGCTCAATTTCGGCAGCAGAATTTGGAAAAAGTTCTTGTATCAGAACTCTTACAACATCTTGCACAACTCTCACAGCACCGTTTATTTCAGGATATCCAACAGCTTTTGGCGATTTGGTTATCCGTAGGATGTCCTCAGCACTGAAAAAATTTAAGAATGATGCTGTCTTTATGAGAGAGAGCAACGCTCTCTGTCGAGGGTTAACTGTAGCTCGAATAAGGGCGAGCTGCTGCTCTTTGGCGAGTAGCTGTTGTCCTTTTTTTAGGGGCACTTGTCGACAACAACTCTCTCTACAAAGACAGCAGTGTTCCTTTAATTTTTTCAGTGAGGATATCCTAACCACCGCAAGCCGATGTATATCTCTAGGACGTCCCTTGGATATCCTCAAATGTGCTGTGAGGAAAGATCTTCTACAAGAAAATATAATTAATATTTGTATACAAGAAAATGTACATGTTCTTGTTCATATTTTTGTGCAGGTTCATTACTACACATGAAAACTTACTTACACATGAAACTGTTTATGTTCTTGTACAAGTAAATTTGGAAAAAATTTAAGAGTTTAATAATTTATAATTATTAAAACTCTTCACTTATGCACGCTAAAAATTATTGCGCAGCCTTTAAAGTTTTTAATTTTTACTAAACGAAGACATAAACGAACCTATACAAGAATATGAACAAGAACATGTACATTTCCTTGTACAGGGATTCTCAGGAGGGAATGTATGCTTACAAATTTATTAATGTAGATAAATTTGTAAAATTTAATTAAAAACTGTATACGCTTAAAATGCATACTGTTAAACTGTGTACAAAAAAACTGCACACGAATTAAAATATTAATATTTTATTTAAAAAATTCTTACCGATTAAACTGCATACAATAAAAGATCCAAAAAATTAATATTAATTTTATTAAAAAATTATATATGATTAAATTGCATACCGTTAAACTGCACACAAATCAACTCTATATATAGCCAAATTTAATCTTTATTTAATTTGTGGGATCTTTTGCTGTATGCAGTTTAACCGTGTGCAGTTTAGTAGTAAATAATTTTTTAATTCAAAAAATATTAATTTATTTCTTGTACAGTTTTGCTGTATGCAGTTTAACGGTGCGCATTTTAATTGTATTTAGTTTATAATTTTAATTTAAAAAATTTTTTTTTAAATAACTCGTATGCAGTTTAGTGTGTGTAGTTTTCCTGTTAGCAGTTCAATTGTGGGCAACTTCAACCGCCCCTTTTATTCATTTAGGGCAAATAATAATGTGACGTTCTACGGTAAAAGGGACCTTAGCTACAAAAGATGAATTTTGCAGGAAATGCGTTTAAAGTGAAGCGTGTCTGATTGGTTGAAACGCTCCATCGACATTCAACCCTACAAAAAAAAAACAAAAAAAAAACGAACAAAAAACAAACGAACCATTTTAGCACCAAACTGCTTTATCCTTTAATAGTATGTAACTTCATTGACCTATTAAAGAGTGAAATAATGCTTTTTTAGTTTAAAGTAAGTCCATCTCTGGCGGATTGTGTAAACCGAGTATTTGACTGAGCTTGATCAAGTTTCGGTTCGTGTGGGTTTGAGGCAATATATTCCAAAAAATAATTGAAATATTGGTAAAATTGCTATTAGGAAGTAATAATTAATGTTTTCTGAGTCGATTTATGCAATATTATTGGATAATTAAGCTCTTATTATTGAATAATTAATTTTTTTAAAGAAGAAGTTTACCTGCCATGGTATACTCTATTCTGTGATTTAAACAATAAACTAGTACTAAATAATTAAATAAATAATATATAAAAATTTTTTGTTGTAACCTTAATATATGCATATTACCGACATAATACACGCGTTGATCAGTAGATGTCCCACAAAAACACTTTGTGAATTTTTTTTTCTGTTACTTTGCGGTTTAAAAAAAATTCAAGGATTCCCTAAACATTTTATAAAATAAAAATATTTTACATAATTTTTAAATTTTTATGTCAAAATTATAAAAAATTATGTAAAATACTTTTATTAGTTTAATTTTTTAAGAAATATTTTTTTAACTCATAATTTTTTTATTTAAACAAAATTATGTCAAAGTAAAACAAAAATGTAGCATAAAAAAATAAAAAATTTAAAAGAAATTACACATTCAACATTGTAGTTTTGAAGTTAAACAAATTTTTAAATAAAAGTCGTTTTTCAGTTTTTCAAAATATTAAGGTTTGTTGGCCACTTTGATGACATTATTTTTTAGAACTAATAATTAATCAAAATCAAAAAAGGGTAAAGATTGCGTGACGTATTATGTGCACAACCCCAAAGATAAAAATTCATTTTTCTCAATTGACGTACTGATCAATTTTATCAAAAAAACTTATTCCTTATTGCTTCCAATTGTAGGCAAACAATTTTTACAATGTTTTCGGAATTTTTTAAAATATTTTGAATTTTTAAATAATTATTTTGGTTTATTATACTACGTACTTTTATGTATTTTGATGCAGTGATTGCGAAAATCATAGTGACAATACCCGAAAATTTGATTTTTATGGTGAAAACCATTAAAAAAAAGTCCTAAAAATTATGGTTTTTAACGTTTATTGTGTAAAAAATGAAAAATTTTTAAAAAGTGCAAAAAATACAAATTATGTATTTTAATGAGACCTATAACTTTTGTCTAAAAGTTTTTTTTATTTTTCCATATTTTACCCTATAATAATAATAAAAAATTTTTATTAGTTGAATTTTTTAAGAAATATTTTTTTTTATTAAAAACTAATCATTTTTTAATTTAAACAAAATTATTTTTGTAGTCTCAAAAAAATTATTTTATAAAATATTAAGGGTATCCTTGAATTTTTTTTAAACCGCAAAGTGACAGAAAAAAAATTCACAAAGTGTTTTTGAGGGCCATCTACTGATCAACACGTGTATTACGTCGGTAATATGCATATATTAAGGTTACAACAAAAAATTTTTATATAATATTTATTTCATTAGTTAGTACTAGTTTATTGTATAAATAACAAAAATAATTAATATTAATTCAATAGAAAAAAAGTTAATTTTCTGTCATTTTCCTTTTTTTCAATCACAAAATAGAGTATACTATGACAGGTAAATATACTACTCTTTAAAAAAGTTAATTATTTAATAATAAGAGCTTAATTATTCAATAATTTTGCGTAAATCGTCTCAGAAAACATTAATTTTTAATTCCTAATAGCAATTTTACCAATATTTCAATTATTTTTTGCAATATATTGCCTCAAACCCAAACGAACCGAAACTTGACCGACTTACTTTAAACTAAAAAAGCATTATTTCATGCTTTAATAGGTAAACGAAGTTACATCCAATAAAGGATAAATCAGTTTGGTGCTAAAATAGTTCATTTGTTGTTCATGTGTTACTAATAACACATGAGCAGTCCATTCGAATATAGCAGACACAACCTTACGTATATTGCAAGAAATTCATACCGATTTTTTATGGCTTTCGAGCAATACTAGCACAAGCTGTAAAATATTAGCACAAGCCTTTGCGATATTAGCAAACGAAGCTTATGAGAAAAGCGCACGCGTAAGTCTTGTGAGATAATCGTAACAGATTTCTCTCCGCGTACTACTACATAAATATATAAAACCAAAAGCCGATGTTGCCCGAATGGAGAGCAACATACATATGTGCCAAGTGTAGTCCTTTGGGAAGAGGAGGAGATAGTTTTCATAACTGACTTACAGCTGACATCGCGAAAAGGAAAATTGGTTGGTATTAAAAACTTAAAATTAAAATATTTTCACCTAAGATCACTTTCACCGTAGAGCGTCACATAATTATATCGTTGAAATCGTCAGGAGATGGAGATATCAAAAATACAAGTTTAAAATGTGGAATATTGAAATTAGAAAATTAAAATTTTTTATTTAAAAAGCAAGTAATTTTGATTAACCCTTTTTTAACCACACACTGCGACGGGGTGTCCTTTACTCGGATCCAACCCGAGCTACTGGTGTGAATGGGAAAATCCATGTACACGAACCCTTACATGCGCTTAAGCCCATTTAGATATTTAGAATGGGTTTACCAATTTCAGTTAAGTACTTAATCCACAGTTAGTCCTAAAAAACTTAATTTTTAATTGTCATTTTTAATTGAATTGATCAACTTTTAACCGAAATCGGTTAAACTTGTTTTTAAATTAAGTTGATCCTTTTTATGTTTTCTGCGCCGTTAAAAGAAACCGTATAAGAATGAAAATTTATTTTACCGTAAAATAAAATGAGTCATATGTATATAATTTGTTGATGTTACAAATGTGAAAATTACGAAAACAATACTGCGTTAAGATAAAAAATTGAACATCAATTTTAACTTGTCGATTATATTATTCGTTAGTTTTATATTAATTAATTTATTGTGAATTGTTGATTCAAGTTGTACAGAATATAAAGTAAAGTCCATTAATTGTAAGTTACTTTTTTTAATTACAAATATTGTCATATAAGTAGTAGTGTAAATATGTAATTTATTTTATATGCTTTTTGGGAATTTTATAATTGCAGCATGTTCCAAAACAGTGCATTATTCTATAATTTCATAATTTAATTTTATTATTTATTTATTATTTTATAATTTTTTATCCCGCAGACACAAACATGGTACTGTCAAGAAGCTGCTGACAGGGAATAGAGCTTCTTATTTGTTCGACCTGTTTGATAAAGGCGACCACTTTTTCTCTAGCACAGTAGAAAACAATAATTCAGCATAAACATTTCGCATTAAGGAAAAACACTGACAGAATTCGGTTTTCTGACTGAACCGTATTGGGACGTTCCCCCGAATTATATCTGCCCGTGTAGTTGTATTAATGTATTATATTGTTTTTGTAGCTTGAAAGATGTCTATTGTGAAAACGAAATAATAGAAAATTCTATAAAAGAGTGAAAAAATGTGACATATATTACTGGATTTATGATATAGCTAATCGACTTATATGATAACTTTACCATACTAGTCAGTGTTTTAAGTTGAGCACACTGACTCATATGGTTAAAAATTACCATCTGATTTGGTAAATCCAGTCATGCGTTTCACATTTCATTCTTTTCACTTTTTAATAAAATTTTTAATTAATTTAATTTAATAAAATTTCTATTTTTGGAAAATCGAAAATTATCACCAATACAAAGCTTAAGGAAGCAAAACTAGAAAAAATTGACTCCCTTTTTAATACAAGTCGAACAAATAAATGACTTCTACCCCCTACTACTATCTATCAGAAATCGACACGTTTAGGCCTTTGGAATAAAAATTATCGAAGTTAATAAGAACTTAAGGATTACGCTCATTGTTGCTTTATATACTATTATTTTTTTAATTTTATAAAAATAAATTGTTAAATTCATCTCGAAACTGCGTTTACGATTTTATTTTTAAGACATGATTTTTCTTGTATATTCATACGTTGTTGTTTGACAATATTGAGATTGTGACAGTTAAATCCTTTTACAAAAAGTAAAATTTTATAATTCATCAGAATTGTAATTTTAAAGGCTTATTTTATTTTAAACAAAGTTGCCTACAGTTCCAATAAAACTTTTTTATAAATCTGACTGGTAGAAGAGAGTAGAAACTATAGTGTGTCTCTGCATATAGTGGATCATTTCAGTTTTCTGGAAAATAATTTAAAGAAACTCTACCAAATTCGAAATACAAATTAAGTTCAAGTATTTCCACTGCGACCAAAAACTTAAATTACGTTGATTAATTATTTCTAAATGAAATCGAAAGTAACTGTTTTAAGAAAAAAAAACAATTTTCTTAAAATATTATGATGATTTTTTATAGACATAAGGCAGTGAAAAATAAAAGTTCTTGTTATTTCTTGTGGTATATAGAGGATCTAGCAACAGTGATTCAAGCAAAAATTTAAAATTTAAGAAACGTTGGAATGATAACAAAAATTTTTTTTATTGATTTCAGAAGGTGCATTGATTGGGATTAAAAATATCATAAATGTACACAAAAAATGACATTGGTAAAAATAACTAAAAATGTGTAGTTAAAAAAAAGCAGTTAAAAGTACCATACTCAGAACCATTTTAACTAAACTTAGACAGTTGGTGGTACTAAATTTTAGTAGTCAATTTCACTTAGTTAAAATTACTAATATTTGTAGTTGAAATAACTGTTATGTGATTTTAAATGGCTTTACAACACTTTAATAGTTAAAGCTACTGTTAAAAATTGTTATTTTTAGGATTTCTGTAGTTGAAAGAAGCATTTCTTATTAGTTGAAAAAAAAATTATAAACTTACTGTTTTCAAGTAGTTAAAGTAAGTGTTAAAAATAGTTATTTTTATGATTTATGTAGTTGAAAAAAACAATTTTTCATAGTTGCAGAAAAACAACTAAACTTAATGTTTTTATGTAGTTAAAATAAGTGTTGAAAATAGTTATTTTTATGATTCGTGTATTTGAAATATCCATTTCTTTCGAAATGCAGAAAAACAATTGGACTTACTGTTTTCATGTAGTCACTATTAATGTGAAGATTATTGTTCAAGTCTAACATATAATTTCTGTTGTAGAGTTAACTGTTATTTTGTAGTAAATATTACTATTTTTAGCAGTTGAAAAAGTTTTTATGTAAAGTTTGAGAAGTATTAATTAAAAGATGATAATAACTATTAAAAGTAGTAAATTTGACTACATTGGATAGTAAAATTAACTGCATAGTGACAAGAATGTCCTCAAATATCATGTAAGTCATCCTAGCGTGCGTGCGTGAGGTTACTTGGTTAAGTTGTTGGCTTGCGAATGTTAGGGTCGTGCATTCAATCCCCGATGAAAAAATGGATCTAAATACTAATATTAATAATAATAATTTTACTCCCAGATAACAAAATGCCTGCATAATAGCAGGCCGTGTGCCGGACCTCAGTCCGATTGATCGGACCAACGTGCCGGCACATAAGCAGCGCAATGTACGCGCCATTGCTGGCGATATCGCCCGCCCGCGGTCCGATCCATTAAAGTACAGAAAATGTTTTTTACTAAAATAAAAATTGAAACTGCGTCTATGTAGATACGTTTAATGATTATTTAAACAATTTCAGTAAAAAAATTACACGTGCTGATTAACATTTTGAAAATGTGCTCTGGTAACTTTTTTTATCAGATAATCAACCATCTCATTGATTAAATAGCTAAAAAAATAGTGTTCAAAAATATTTCATTAGTAAAAAATGAGCTGTTTTCGGAATTTAATCACGGAAATGCATATATTTAATTCAGTATGATTATTTACAATACTTATCTTAAAGTTAAATTATCTCACGCACGCAAGGGGAATCGAAACCGCGACCTAACGCAAACTAAACCTAATGCCTAACCAACTGATCTATCAACGCACTTGCTTTTATTTACAAGAATTCTGTCCTAAAAATGAACTATAAAATACTTTTATTTAAAATTATTGTTTTTCAAAATGTCATTTATTCAAATATTCTTCTTAGAATTAATTATTTTTATTATAAATAGATCAAACATTTTGAATATTATTATATAGATTGTAATAATTTTCAAGATATTCTATGATTATTTTTTGTGTTATTAAGAATATTCGTATAATCGCATGATTGTTAAATGCAATATATATTATATTCATTAAAATAATAAATTTTTCACTAATGATTAATTATATTTACGAATTCATCAAACTTAAGTAGCAAACAAGTTACAAAAGAAATTCTAAAATTATTCTTGTAAATTATATCGATGGCCCCTAAATGAAAACACGTTTTTCGCGAGTGCTCTCGCGAATAACGTGTTTTCATTTAGGAGCCATCGATATAAATTCTCAATGTAACATCAATAATTAAATCTATCTTTATTTTATTAATTCATTAATTTATTTCTTTGTTAAAGTAAGACAAAATAAATATTTCGAAGTCAAACTTATTAGCTTTATTAAAAGTTTTCATAGTTTTTTTAAAATTTATTCCATCCGATTTTCAATTTATTATTCAATTAATTCAATTCGTTTCATGAATTTTTATTTGTTTAATATTTAGTACAATTTTTAAAAAACTTTTCAGTTAATCGTTTAATTTTTTTAAGGATTTTCTTTTTTTCCCACACATCACATTATATTTCATAAACATTTCATGAATATTTCATTGAAAGATTTGAAATATTTCAATGCAAGGTTCATGAAATGTTGATGAAAACAGGAAAATGTCCGCCTATAAGAAATATTGCCGTGAAATTTTGCTGAAATATTACACATTAAGACTCCTGCAATATTACAAATCGTTATTTTCTAACATGTTCAACACCTTAGGATCCTTAGCATCATTTAAGTTGGAATTTTTCTATAATATTTTAATGAAATATTTCAGCAAAATTACACGGCAATATTACTTATAGGCGGACATTTCCCTAATTTCAGCAATATTTCAAGGACTTTACATTGGAATATTTCAAAATTTCAATGAAATATTTCAGAAATATTTAGAAAATATCATGTGCTGTGTGTGTTTATACGTTATTTTCTCATTTTGTTGTTAAGTTCCTTTATAATTTTTTATTATTCTTTGCTCATTTAATAAATTTTATAGTTTTTCATAATTTTTTCATTTCTTAGAAATGTTGTCCCTTCTCTAAACTGAATAACTTTTTCCTTATATTATTCTTTTTTAATAGATTCTAGTCAGTTTTTTTTTGCATTTTTTCCTGTATTTTTACAAATTTTAAGCTTTTTTCGTTCTTTAAAGCTTTGTTCTTACATTTTTTAAACTCCTTCATTTTATGAATAATCTCCTTAACTTTCTTATATTTTAAGAATTTTCTTTTCTTACCATTTCTATATAGTGTGTTTTACAAAACTTAAGTTATTAGGATTTTTATACTTATTAAACTGCTTAATTTATTAAAAATTTGTTGGCTTATATTTTTCTCATCTTTTTGATAATTTACTTTACTTTTTAAATTTTTTATTCATGATTTTTTAGATATTTTAAAAAGTATTCTACATTTTTAAAAATTTGTGAATTATTTTTTAATAAATCTTGTTATTTTCTCTTATCCCTAGATTAATTCTTTTATTTATATTTTTATATATTTTGAACCATAAAAAAAATTATTGCAAACTTGTTTTGCTTATCACTACAAGAAATAAAATATCAATAAAAATTAATTTATTTATAAATTATTTAATTTTATTAGTGAAAGTAATACTTTTTTTATTTATAATGAAGATTCAAAAACAGAAATTTAAACAAGCCTATTGGCAGATATATCCTGGACAAAAGATCCGGATAATATGTCAGGAACATTGCGAGCACGATGCTGGCACAGTCGGTCTTGTCATAAAGTAGGTGGCACAAAAGGTGCGTTACAGCAGGAACACGGTCCGCCGATCGTTGTGCCTGTAACGTGCCAGACACGTTTGTTATCTGGGCTACTTTGAATAGTTTTTTTTACTAAATTTTACAATTGATTTAACCGTTTTTACATAGTTGTCTCAAATACTTTCTGTTAATAGGCGCCTCCTGGAACCATGAAAATTAGTAACTCCAACCTAATAAAACAGTTAATGTGACTGACAAAAAATCATTGAAATAACTTCTTTATTTGGTTAAATTTACTGTAAAAGTAGTAATTTTTACTATACTTTACAGTTAATCTGACAATTTTTACATAGTTGTTTCAACTACTGTTTGTTCATAAGCGCCTCACAGTGGTTTGAAATCAAAAAGTAGGGTTCAAAACAGTCTAGAGCCTACAAATCGCAACCGATTTTGGAATTTTTTTTTTAAATAATCTTTAATAAAATTGTAAGAGATCCCTCGAGCCCGATTTTTGATTTTCAATTTGCATAAATAATTATATTAATATAAACAAATAAAAAAAACGTACTTTTTTACATATTAGGGGAGGATGGGGTAAGGATAGTTAGGTAAGACATTTTTGGATCTAGTAGCTAAAATTCAACAGGCATCGGAAAAAGAATAGTATCGTTCGAAAGCCTGTTTATTTAGCTACAATTTTGTAATACATTATTTTGCTGTGGATTGCAATGCCTTCGAGATATTAGCGGAAAATTAAAAAAAAAATTTAACTATCCTTGCTCACTATTGGGGCAAGGTTAGTTATCAAAATTCTTTTTATGAAAAATAATAAAAAAAAAGACATTAAATTTGGGGTTTTTTTAATTTCATTGGATAAAAGCACCTCAAAACACTTCCAAGCACTACCAAAAAAATTTTTTGGACATAAATAAATATTTAAAACAGCTAATATCTGAAACAGTGTTTTAAACAGAACTGAGACATTTTAGAAAAAACAGGATTTTCACAAATAAACACGTAGCTTCCACAAATGATATCGCATCAAGATAAAATTTTTCTTGACGTCTTTTAGTGTTAAAACAAGTATATGTGGACGTCCAAATGAAAAGGTACCACTTTGGCACTATTGGACTTATCTATATGGTCAAATTCCTTGTTAAATTTGGAAAATTTTGAGGGGTCTTACGTCCA